GATTGTGGTCTTTTGATCTGAGCTTTCCACTTTTGCCAGGTTTGACTTTCTGCAGCAAGGTAACATTTTGCCTGTGGAAGCAGTGGGAGTTGCAAGGTTCAGACTTGAAACCCTTTCTGGGCTTTGGCACTGCTGATCCAAGTGTGATTCCAGCAACCCCAGAGGCATTTGTGTGTTTTCAGGCCATGGTCTCCATCCCTGCTGTGGTTATCCTAGGAGGATTCCCTCTGGCTTTTCCAGGGCAGCAGCCAGCCTCCCTATGAAGTAGCCACTGCCCAGCCTGTTCAGCCGATTGCCAGCAGGAGCTCCAATTAACATTTGGCAACATTGGCAGCTCCATATGGAAACTACCACTCTGCCGCCCACATTCGAACTCCAGCTTTTTCCTTTCATTTAATTAAAACACAATCAAGGCAATTAGCTCATGACAGAGTTTCTCCAAAGTTAAACTCCAGATGTATGGCAAGGCAAAAGCATGGAAATGCCAATTCATTGTGCTGCCTGGAGGTAGATTGTATCTCTTCCATTTAGCAGTTTATCCACCATGGATTAGCTGTGTTTTTTCCCTTTCAAGTAGGTTAAGAAAAACCAACAACAACAAAAAACAAAACAAAACCACCCACAAAACAAAAATGTGAGAAAGAAAAAAAAATTCCATCTGGTTCAGGTCAGGAAAAATAATAATTTGAGATACTTATGGAAAATGACATTTATTGTGTCAGAATGACTTCTGATTTTCAATGACTACATCAAACCTTTTATCATGCAGTGTCTTGAAGTTTGCCAGTAAGCTTGAGGAATAAGCAGCTTATATTCTATAGTAAGTTGATGACTTACTGCTAATTGGGGATAATAGGCAGCTGCAAAAACATGTTGATTTTGCTGGCATAAAAACCATTATTTCCAACTCTGTGCCCTCTGGCAAGGTGGTATGGAAAATCATATTGTTGTCAGAAGAGGTTTTGAGGTCTCAATAAACCAAGAGGACTTTTACAGCACATCCCTGCAAGGCAGCAGGGCGCAGTGGGAGGAAGAGAAAAAAATAACTGTACTAGCTAACTTGTAGTTAATAAGCAAAGAAATTGTATCCAAATCCACATGTAAAGTAACTCTGAACTGGGACCAAGGCACCTTCTGCTGCATTTCTCAATTCATTCATGGTTAGATGAGGCAATGCCCTGAGTCACCTGTGTTCTGACAGGATGAAAAGGTTTTCCTCACATGCTTCAAGAGTGATGTGGTGATCCCACAGCAATACTGCAAGAGAGCTATTGCTAGTGAAAGTATTATGCTACCTCAGTGCCTTGGTATCAGTGGGGCACTTGATTCTGTGCCTTTTTCCCTCTTGGTTATGTTGTCCAGCTGTAGGAGGAGGACTTTTCCTTCATCTTGCCACTCTTAACCTTGCTGTATGACAGGGATCCAGAGCATAGTTGCAGTGCAGGTGGGTAAGCCTTGTTTGATGTGGGTCAGAGAAGGGATTACAGCATGAAAGGTGCAGCATGGTGGGGAAAGAAGAGAACTTGACATTCTGCTGGCACCTTCTTGTACTTAACAGCCCTGATGTGAGAAAGAATCCCTTAAATATCTACCAGTACTGCAGCAGGATAGGATTAGATCAGTTGTGTAGAAAGGTGCTGGTGAGGGGAGCGCAGGTTAGGTTCTTCTGCTGGCTTTTCATTTTCACTGCCAAGAGAAAAAATATACAGAAGCAAAAAATACAGAACATCTAAAGTCATAAATATAGTCCTCTTTTCTTTTGATCATGAATTTCTTTAAGTCAAAGTTTTTAAAAAATGGTCTTGCTGCATTTTGATCACAAGGCCTGGAACCAGCAGAAACACAGTTTAGTTTAAAATAATTGATATTAGACCTGCTTGAAATGATCTGGTGGGTCATTCTTCTCTTGCATTTTGCTCTTACGAAGTTAGTTGTAAGTACTTATCTGAAAAAAGCGTTAGTGTGTGCCAGGGCTGACGTCTTAGTTTTGAAGTGTACCATGCCCTGGGAAAACTGTGATGGTTTCACACGCCTGCCTCAGCCCCACAGCATCTCCGGAGATCATTCACAGCACTAAAATGTTTCTTCAGCAGCTACAGAGATCATTGCTGCTTATTGCAAGTAGCCTTCCTGGAATGAGACATGTTCAGTCATCTCTAAGCATTTGTAGGAAAGCCAGGATCATCCACAGGCTGATCTAATCTTCTCTGGCTGCCCTCAAGCTTGAGGAGAGGCTGTCCTTTTTGTACATTTCAGCTGATGACAGCCCATGTGGCACAATTCAGCTTTGCAGTGTCCCTGCTAGCCTTCTTGGCCTTTGCAGCAAGATCTCCTTGTCATGGGACATTGACATGCAGCATTCATATCCTCACTTCTTGTCCTTCTTGTGCACCCAGCTGATCCTGCAGCTGGAAAATCTTCACCTAGGGCAAATATATGGAATATGATCATATATGGTCATGTAAGCTATGCAGGTACTATAGCCAGAAATCCTAGTGTCAAACTCAATAATGTTTATTGAAGACAACGAAGTGACTCACTGGGTTTCTGAAGAAGGCAGGACTTCAAGACACTGTATATACCAATAGTAGAGTAACACAAGTCTGAAGCTCCTCTAAACCTCAGAGAGCTAAGATGTTTCTTTTCCCCTCAGTGAATATGTATAATGTTTATAATGATTAACAGAAGGTAGATAAGTTCTCTGAGGTGAAAAACACACTGCTTTATTCTTAAGTAGTACATGGCCTATAAAGCAAATCGTGTGCATCTGAAGCATCAGTTTCCTGTGGAATGTTTCAAGCAAGAGGAGTAATTGCTTTTGTAAAGATTTTTCTATAAATGCTCTGAAATATCTTTGCTAAAATTGTGGGTTTTTTTCTAAATAGCTTATTAATTGATAAAATGTGCTAGCTTGTGAATATATATGTATACACATAATATATGCACTTTTGAATATAAATAAGTTCCTTTTTTAAGATGTATTACTTAATCTTAGATTATTTCTAAAGTTAGTCTGTGATATCTGGCTATGCTTATTCCTTCTTTTCAAATACATATTTCAAATGAGGGAATTGGTGCAAGGTCCATGGATTAGTAAATTCCCAATTTTGAACACTTGTTGAACTCACTAGACAAATCATCTCCTTGCCTTTTATTGTCTGAAGGAATTAATGTTGATATCTGTTTTCAAAAGTTTCAATCTTCCGGAATAGAATTATTTTCCATGAATTTCATGTATTTGCTCAGTTTGAAGCAGACAGATTTCTGTAGCTAGGATGAATATGAATTATTTTGGAATTACCAGTTTTTCAGCAGAGGACAGAACAAGAGCCAATGTAAATCTGTATTTCTCTGTGAGGATCTATTGGAGCCCCAATTCTCCTCCATTTCTGCTGCTAGATGAGGTTTTTGTGAAAGTGGTCTCCTGCAATGGGCAGTACTCCATGGCTCAGGAGCATTTGGAAAGATCAGTGTTCCAGTTGCAATCCCTAATTTCAGGCAAGGCACCTGTGCAGGGCTCCTTGTGCTGCCCTGTGCCTCTCTGCAAAACTGCCCACAGCCTTTGGTGATCTCATCTCTCACCTGGCTTCTCAGGGTGTGTTGGGGGGGTAGCTGCTTTATTTTAAGGCAGTCTCATTTTAAATCTCTCTGAAGTTCACCTCGTTCTCCAGGGCACACAGGTGAGGAAGTTTATCACTACTTTTCAAAGACTTCAATGAAATTATACAATTAATCTTTCTTGTCAGTACTTTATTTCAAAACATTGGAAATAAAATTTTTTGGACTCTCTCTGCATTACATCCGCTTTCTCACAGAATTTTTTTTTTTTTTAACATCCTGGATCAATCTTAAGCCTAGGACAAATATAGAATTCATTACATGTCATTTGTCTGAGAAACAGAATAATAAGATTGCACCATGATATTATGTGGCTGAATATGTATCTTTTTAGCAGTTAGGTCACAAAACCAGGCTTCAGGAAGCTATTTGGCAAACATAAAATTAAGCACTTAACAATTCTGTGCCTCATATTTTCCATCTGTAAAATGGGGACATTGGTATTTCTTTCTTTGAATAGCATTTCTGATTTAATGATCTGTGATTATCATTGCTACTGTTAAGAGTGGCATCAACTCTGTTCCGAATTGGTTATAATTAGAATTTTTAGATGAATGAAAGCAATTACAGAGCCTATATGCCAGAAACAGTTAAGCCCATGATTAATTTTGTTTCTCTAAGTAATGGCAGTTACTTCGTTGCTCATAGGAGTAAAATTCAGCGCATTGGAATTGTTTGCAGGACTACAAATGGAAGGCTAATTCTTCAATAGAAATAAATAATAGTAGATTTCCACAGGACATCGTGGGATGAGTCTTAATTGGTTCACGAAACTCAAAGTTTGCTAAGTATTGGCTTTCATATCATTCAATATATTTTTGCAGTAAAGAAATCCTTCTATAAGTTTTGGCTCCGGTTCAAAAGCTTATTGTAAAATACGCTTTGTGAGTAAGAAGCCTGACTCATGGCAGGCTGTGCTGGGAAGGAGTGATTACCAGGGATATCAAACAGACCTGGTCCCATTCCACTGCCAGAACAGTTATCTTTGGAGTTTGTTTAAGAAAGGATTAATTTTACCCAAATGAAACAGTTATGTATTCACATTGCAAGGGTTTTGTTTTCAATGTGATGATAGCTAGTTATTCAACTTCACCATGGATTGGGAAAAACTCACCCAAACTTAATTTGGAAGAAATTCTCCTGTAGTGATAGAAAACCACCGGACTGTGCAAATACACCAGATGAGCATCACAAGACGCAAGTTCTGCACAGCTGCAGTTGCAGGGCTGAGAAGCTCTGAAGCCCAGGGCTGCCTTCTGGAACAGGAAAAATCCATGTTGATGCACACACAGCCTGTTGCAGTCTGGTAGTGGAGGAGTTTAGCTGTTGGTACTATTTAGTTTTCCATTCTTCAGTTATTTTTATTTCTTTTCTTTGTACAGTTGATGGTTTGGACAAGGCTTCAATTGCTAACTCAGATGGACCAGCCCCAGGATCCCAAACTCCCCCCTTCAAGAGGAAGGGCAAACTCTCCAACATTGGCAAAATCTTTAAACCTTGGAAATGGCGGAAGAAGAAGACCAGTGACAAATTCAGAGAAACATCAGCAGGTATGTCTGTGGCCCTTTGGTGGCAAAGAGTAGAAAACACTGTGATGGTTTTGCAGGGTAGTATTTGAAAAGCTCTTTGAACTTGTTAGATGGCAAAGATTATTTAGGCATGGTATTTGACATACAGAAAAACAGTTTGATCCTTGGCAAGGAAAAACCATACCTTGTTCAGCTTCTGTCTTGAACCTATCCCCTAAAATACGCGGCTGATTTGTTTACTATACATGTCGTCAAATATATTGGAAAATCTCTCTGTCCTCCGGGTAGTTTGAATTATGAGACAAACCTTGCCTTTGTGGGGACAGAAGTCTGGGGCAGAAGCAGACATAGCCATGCCCAGCAGAAGAACGAGGATCAGCTCTGCAGCCCCTGCCATCACAGAGGCTACTCTGGCCTTTCCCTTCCCCACTGACAAGGTCTGAAATCAAATGCTGTGATTGAATTATATTCTGTCTGAAAAGAGGGGTATTAAAGGCTGGGATTTAGTTGGCCAAACATAGTTGTTTGGAGCCACCTGAGATGCTCTGGGTGTCCTGGCTGCTCTCCCAAAAGGTTTGATATCATATTTGTCATCCCTCTGCAGACAGCTCCGAAACCCTGGGGCATCTGAAGTGGCTGTAGACATCCATGTTTAGAAAACTGAATTCCACCCTGCCTGTATGTGTGTGTGTGTCTTTTTGTCACTGCTCTAGCCAAAATTTCTCTACAAAAATCCCAAAATTCTGGTTTGGGATTCAAACATTTGATGTTGTGGTTTCCTAAACTTGAATCTAATTAGAGTCCAGTGAGCTTCTGTGAGCTCTCTTTAGATTCATTGTCACTGTGCAAGCCCTCTATCTACTGTCCTCCAAGGCTGTAGGCAATAAAGCCAGCTCTAGTGTCCTGAAGTGTTTTCAGTAGCTTCCCTGAACTCTTAGAGGTACACTGCTTGACATTTTAAACCCATACCGACCCCTGACAGTTACAGTAAGGAGCTCTATGGTTTGACAGCAAAACTTCTAAAACAAGCTTTTTTTACACAAAAAGGAAAAATAAGCCATTTTCTCTGGTGTCTTCATCACTCCAGATGCCAGCTGAAGTTTTGAACAGATTTCTGAGATCTTCAAATCCTTCTTTCTCTCCTTTTTCTGTTTTTTTTTTTTTTTTCATTTCCCACATCCCCTGCAACAACCCCCTCACAATTTCTTCTGTTACTGCAATTAAAAAAAAATCCCCCATCAGTCTGAAATCTCCTTCATGGCTTCCCATTTCCTTCAGCTTTCCCAGTACTTTATCATGTTGCTAAAGCAAAGTTATTTCTAGTTAATGACTCCTGAATGACTAATGCAGCTTCTCCTGGACAGGTATGTGATTTTATATGCAACAAGTTCTTCAAAGTAATGACCATTCATAAGCTATGTATACAGAGATTCCCTAAACTTTCACAACCTATTAGCATGTGTGACACTGTTATGCCATTAAATAATAACACATGTATCATTTTTCAATTATTTTTAAAAAAACTAATACCTGTACGTTCATGTTAAAGGTTGTATTTCTTATGTTGTACTGTCTTTCTTCTGAGGGCCTGAATCCAGTCTTGCAAGCATGACACATCAATTCTTATAACACCAAGGCAGAGCAGGTGTTAGTATTTCTTTTACAAAAGCAGGAAATTAAACACAAAGAAATTAAGGTCAACATTTCCAAAAGTGCCTTATCCTTAGATACTCCTTCTACTTAATTTGCTGGTCTTGTTCATGATGTTGTGGTCCCTCAAGACACTGATTTGCTTTTAAACTGTGTATGGGATCATTTATGTTTGTGTATATGCTTCATGTGAGGCTGGAACTTGAATTGAGAAGTAGTTTGAATTGCATTCATCCTGCCTTAGATGGTAATTTCGGGGATGAATAAAAATAGTATTCCCTGTATTTCTTGAGGAAATAGACCCAGGACCAATGGAGACTGAGAAGAGGCACTGACGTGGCAAGCTGCCCCTTGTTGCTTGCTCAGTGACACAGCAGAAGAAACTTGCTTATCTAACTTGAGAAGGAAAGGGGAAGACATCCATTCAAAATAAAAATCCTACAGGATATCCTCTTCCTCACAGTACTCAATCAGAGGTGTATATTCATCACCAAGTGGGGGCTGTCTGTGTGCCTGCCTCTTACATGCAGGAAGCCCATTTCCTGGCCTGGGACCATGGGAGAGAGCACCATGATCCTCATTTATTGTCAGTTCCCCTAACAGGGCTGCAGCGTGGCAAATCCACATGCGGCTGAAGAAAGGGTTTCTTCTAAGACAGAATGTGGGCTATTGGAAGGAACTCTCACTACTTTCTCTGGGTTTTCAATTGGCTTTTTGAAATAGGTTCTTACTATGGCCTTGCCAGGACATGTTCCATGGAGGACTTTTTGTCTTAGGAGCAACTGGAAGATGTTCATAAGCAGCAAATACCACAGGCATCAAAAAAGGAGGGATGTTTAGATGTTAGATGTTAATATCTGTGCCAGTGTGGGAATGATGGTTGGAATTTTTCCCTTTAACAACGTGTTTTCCACACTCTATCTCAGAAAGTCTGTTCTTTGGGCACTGGCTGTAGGCTTTTTGCCTTGAGGGCTTTCAGAATCAAGGAAAAACAAACACAAAATGCCATCATCTCAAGGGTTTCTCTCCTCTGCAATGTTTTGCTGCGAAGGAAAGGACAACAGTTTGTGTCTTGGCACAAAGTAGATGCCACTTCAAAGCTTCACTGAAAAAGTATATACAGAGAGGGATCAGAAGGCAATTTTAGCTCTCACTAGGTCAGAGGAAAATTAATAATCGGAATGCTCTCAAGCTTCTCTTAGAAGAACAAAACCAAGTACTGGAGAGTATCCAGAATCCCACAGCACTCTTCAAGTCAAAGAATGGGTTTTAAGACTGCCTGAGGTTTGCAGCTGCTGACCATCACTAAGCAATCTTTTTTGTGGGGATGAGGAAGGGGGGGGAGAGAGAGAGAGTGAGAAGCTACTTTTTGAGGTAAACTGTTCCCATTATTAATGTTGTTATTATTTGTATTGGGCAAAACATCAAATGTTGGTGAAGGGCAGTAAGATTTACTGGAGTAAATGAGGGTTGCATACAATACAATAAATTTCCATCGTTTCTGATGGTTACACCTGAAGTCAGGGCAAGTTCTGCTGCTGACTGCAGCAGGGGAAGGATTTTTATGATTCTTCTGGACCATGAGACTGGAGACTGCCTGCCTGCCTCACCTCAGCCTTCTTCAGTAGGCAAGGACTTACAACCAGTTACTCTCACAGTCAGGAGTGATCTCTTTGTAAAAAATCTCAATACATACATGTACACAGAGAAATTGTTCTTTGCAGTTTATCATTGCCTAAAGTTAGAAACAGTATGTTGGTGTTCATGTTGAAATTTTATATTTTTTTGACACCTTTACATATACACATGTATATTTACATCACATATATATAACAGACATGTTGAGATATAGATATATATATTCACATAGATAGATAAACATGCATTCTTATATACACGTATTGCAGAAAAGATTTGTGCTGATAGCATCAGCTGGTCACTCACCCTAATTGCACAGAGTTTTAAGAATCTCAAACCACTCTGCTGAGCTAATTACTTTTGACTACTGTTATGTTTCAGTAAGCTCTCCTAAAATGATAGAGTTACAAAGTCAAGCATTCAGAAGCCAGGAAATGTTTGAATGATGGTTCTGGGTGACAGGATGGTACAAAATACTTTTGTATTTTAAATTACACAGTAAATGTGAAATATATTGCATAATCTAAAATAACCCAAATATATTGTATAACCTGCAATAAACTATAAATTATTATGATGAGTCCAGGCTAACTCAGTATAAATAATGCCCAGTATAAGTTCCTAAGTTGACAGGCTACTCGTTCCTCTTATACAAGGGGACATATTTTTTGACACTTTGATTCAAATAAAGATTCTGCCTTTTTCTTTGTATGAATTGAAATTATGGTACTAGTAGTGAACACTAGCTTGATTTTTTTAATGTTTTTTTCCATGGGGCCAATAGTGTTTAAAATATATTAGCTTTTCAAGCTGAATCAATTGAGCTTAATCAGTTTAAATAAAACCACCAATCATGGCTAGCATTTTTGAAGATGGAGAACTGGGACTTAAGCTTCTTATCTATTCACAAATTTTCTAATATGTGAAATGGAGATAGTTATGTCTCAGGGTTGTTATGAAACCTGTGTAATTTATGAAATGCTTTGAGGTTTTTTAGTTGAAGTGTAAGAGGTTCCTGCCTTTTAATGACAATTTTCATTTCCCATGATAATTAATTCAATACAATTGTTAATTCAGTGTTGTAGAACTGAAAAAAATATATCATCCTGAAAACTAGGGAGACATTGATGGGGCAAGGTCTGATCCAATGTTCTTAACTTGATGGAAAAAGCATTGTTGTTTTCAAGTGGCATTGAATTGTCCCATAGATGTGTAAGCGATCACCTCATTTCACAGTCCCCAAGAAAAGAGATGTAAAAAGGAAGCAGAGAGGGAAAAAAAAGAGTGTAAATTAAATAATATTTGTAATGCTGAAATACTAATAAAATAATATTTAGCGTGCCGGCAACAAAATAAGTATAAAGTGCATGTGTAAGGTGCTCATCTTTCAGGGCTGTGTCAAAGGACATTTCACCCTGCTTGTGAGTGCACCTGCTCTCTAGAAAGACCAAGACACTCCATCCATGCCTGCCCACATGGTGCTCTGTCTCCATGATCCCCCACCTCTCTTAAAACAATCTTTGTGGGACTGCTCCCCTACATGAAAATCTCTTTGCAAGCCTAGGGTGTGTTCCTGTGCCAATGTGTGTGACAAGGCACATGCTTTAAAATATGCAGGGGAGAAACTGGAAGAGCTTGTGAGTAATTTATGTGTGGGACCCAAGGCAGCCTAACTGATCAGAGTTCAGGCTACCACACTCTCCCCAGGGAGGCTGGCTGTACTGGGAGTCTGCAGCCACGCTCATGGGCTCCTTTGTGCTGTCACATGTGAATGTTGCAGAGCTCTGACCTTTAATGGACAGATCCCTCAAAGTACCTGAGTATATAGACACAGACTTAATGCCAGCTTACTTTCTTGAGCAAGCAAGGCTTGCATTTGTGAGCTCTTGATCTCACAGGCATGAGTAGCTGGAGCTGGACTGGTTAAAATGTTTACTCCCTTCAGCTCCTCTGCCAGGAGTTGGTGCTGTTTTGATGAGGAAATGCATCCTGTGTTGAGAAGCTGCTGAATCCCTCCACTTTGCAGTGTGATAAATAAACCTGGGACTGTAACTTTGGGGAGCACAGAATCTGAGAGGACTTCTTGCAAGAGTGTGTAACGATAGAGTAAGGGGAAATGGCTTTAAACTGGAAGAGGGTGGGTTTAGGTTAGATATTAGGAAGAAATTTTTTACTTTGAGGATGGTAAGGCAGTGAACAGGTGGCCCAGAGTTGTTGTGGATGCCCCATTGCTGTAGGCACTCAAGACCAGGTTGGATGGGTCTTTAAGCACCCTGGCTTAGTGGAAGGTGTCCCTGCCCATGGCAGAGGGGTTGGAATGAGATGGTTTAAGTTCCCTTCCAGCTGAAACCCAAATTCTATCATTCTGTTCAACCATCCCCTTCACTGATGGAGAAGGAGAGTGGGAAGCTGTCAGCAGTGGTGCCTTCAGGCACCTCAGGTCAGCCAGTCTGGTTGTGTCAGCAGCTGAGCATCTGCTGCTGGGAAAGGTGTTTTGCTGGGCATGAAGGGCAGCTTTTTCCAAAGAGCCAAAATACCTTTCTCCCTGCCTTCCCAGGAGCCTGTCAGTCCTCTGTATGACTGAGCCACTCCAGCTGGGCTGGCACAAGTGAGATTAAACACTGCACAAGGTATTATCACTCTGCATACAGCAATTAGAGTGACCCTAGAGAGTGTTTGAATTGGTTAATGAGACAAATAACCCTATCCCATAGCATTAATAGGATGAAGTCCAGCACAGCTGGACTTCACCACATGCTCTCAGCTTGAGGTCCAAATGTCACATGGATTTTGATGTCTGTATGAAAACAGAATCAAGATGGGAAAGTGTGACACTGCCTTTTCCTAATAGGCGAGATAGGACTTTACCAGTGATGCTCACATTTTGTGAACATTATGCACCATGGTCCCGTGGATCATTGCAATAATCTCCCAGATCACTGCATCAGTTAGGGAATGGGATGCTATGTGGAGATATTCTATTCTAACATCTGTAAATACTTTTCCCTATAAAACTATTAGGCATTTTTCCCATGGGAAATAAACATAATAATTAGAATGCTTCATGCCACAGTCTTGGGGTTTTTGTGTATGAGGTTGTTGGGGGTTTTTTTTACCTAAAAACAGGATGCTGTATTTTTTTCCATGAAAGTCAACCAGCATCAATCGATGAGCGTGTTACTTCCTTTTAGAACACAACTTTCTGGCTTCTGTTAAAGGTTGTTTCTGTTTACATCTCTTTTTTTTCCCTTTAAACAGCTTGCATGTCACAAGAGCTACTCTGTGAGTTGCTTTCTCTGAGCAGGATTTGTGTCTCGCTACTCAAAATCTGTACAAAGCAGATGAAGATATCTCCAGCTGAGCTACTTGGTCTAGTCAGTGGGGAAAATGGACTTTTACATGTTAAATGCCTATGCTAGGATGAGTTCAATTTCACCCTGAAAGCACCTTTTCCCATTGACCATAAAAGAAGCCTCAAGGAGACTTGCTGAGCAGAAGATATTGGATCTTATGAGTCCCCACTTCCTGTGCCTGAAATTGCAGGGCAATATTTTCAGCAACTGTCCAAGAAAACCCAGACCACTTCTTCTGCAGAACCGGAGGAAACAAGAGTTCTCTTTCTATAAAATAAAAATAGTTCTCTACATTTTTTTCACAATCATCAGCAGTATGAGAATAAATCTATTCTTAACTGTGCTTTTTCTTTAGTGTTGGAAAGGAAGATTTCGACAAGACAAAGCAGAGAGGAGCTGATAAGAAGGGGAGTGCTGAAGGAAATGCCTGAGCAAGGTGATAACATATTAACTAGAATTCAGCTACTGAGCACTAAACATGTATGAAAAAGCCACTGTTGCATTGTTTCCTTGTAGTATAAATAGGTACGAGGAGACCAACTGAGAAGTGTGAGAGGTAATTTGGGCCAGCTGACTACTGAAGTTAAGGGATTTGTGTTCTGTAACTGCTTCTGCCACTGGTGCCCCAGCTGACCTCTGGTCATATCCTGAAATATTTTAATGCTCCCTGTAAATAATGTGACTTCTGTGGCTCCTGCCTATTGTTTGCCAGAATTTTTTTCCAATTAGTAATAAATCTATTTTTGAGTCAAGGTCTGCTGTCTAAAGCCACTAGAATATAAAATGAGATATTTTTACTGAAAAATTAGGGGCTTTAGAACCCAGAAAAATCAATATAATACATTTCAGGTAGCAAAAAGTACCAGTGCTGGGATTATATGGATCCAACAGCTATCACACAGGCCGCAATCACTAATGGTACCAGCATAAAACAGTGGGCAAGAAATCACTTGTTTCAAAATGCTCTAATGTTTAGTATCTGGCATTAGTCAGAATTTACCTTTTGAAAAGCATGAGTAAGCCAAGGTAGATACCTCTATGCTACATCCAATTATGTTTCTAGTGGTATTCTCTCTAATATTCTTCATCTTTTATAAATATAGATCAAATAAAAGTCAAGCGAGTGAAATAATTTTCTGTAGCTTAAATTAAACCATTTGTCATTTCATCACGGAGTGTAAGAACTCCACATTTTCCAAAAAATAATTTTCTCCTAGAAATTGTATTTTTCTGTGTGATTTGAAGAGTCAGTGAAGTATCAGTGTGTATGGGTGGTATCATACCCATAGATACTCAGCAGTAAAGGGTCTGTTTGTTGATGTGTGACATCCCCTGTCCGTACAGAGTTTGGCTCATTATCAGACTATGACATTCAGCATGGCTGGCTTCTGCACTTGTCTCTGCTACTGTCATTGTCTTAAAACAAGATTTGTAAACTCTTCATACCTCAGTTTGTCCATCTGTGGCTTTGTTGTGGGTTTCGCCACGTGGTTTACTGGGGCCCTATGTGACCTTGTCCTTTGAAGGTTGTAAATTGTAATTACACTGGGAACAGTTAATGAAATGTGGTAACTTCTCTGGTTGGTTACAGTCTGAACATAAATACTACAATTTGTGATAAAATTATGAATACTTTGGTCATCAGTGTCCTTGACCCTCTCTTCCATTCTTAAAGGAAATGAGACTTTGAGTTCCTTACAGGGATTGAGCAAAATGAGAAAAGGATATAAGTATGAACAATTTTCTCTTCTCCCTCTCATATCAATCTGGTCTGTGTTATCTTCATCACATTGTGCTTCATGTTTGATGAAAATCGTAATTTTTAAGGACATTTTGAAAGAATATGGGGTTAGTTTGAAGGTGCTAAAAATAGAGAGGTAGGAAAGACAGCTGAGGAGTGTGAAGGTAGTTAGAAGGAATGGCTACGAGGATGAAAGCTAAAAGTGGAAATTACATGGAGACTTGAGAAGTGAGAGGTAAGAAATGTGAAGAAGTGACAGCGTTTCACATGGAGTGAAGAAGAATGAAGCGGAAAGTGGCAAGTGCCACTTGGAGGCAGGAGGTGTTTGAGAAGCAAGCCGTGAATACGAGGTGGCAGTGTCATATGTGGAGGTGGAGGGGAAAGAGTGGATTTCAGAAACCCTGGAAGAGAGAAGCTGAAGAAACTGAATGTTGCAGTTAAGGTAAGTGCAAGTGTCAGCTGTAGTAAATTAGACAAAGTTAGGAAGGCAGAACTCTTCTTTTACAAATCAAGTCGATGTTAGTGTGCAGAAGGTAATGAAATAATCACCTGAGTGGGGGTGCCCAAGGTGGCAGGACAGAGGCTGCATAATTGTGTTGAAACCAGAGAAGTGCCAAACATCCAGGTCTGATAACACACAGCAAGGAAGAGAAGTGGAATTGCCACAGTTAGTGAAGAATCAATGGGAGGAATCAGAAGAGATGCCATGTAGATTTGCTTGCTTTCTGTATTGACAGCAAGAGAATCCTGCAGAAAGAAATAACCAGTGAAGAAAATCAGCAGCAATTTTAAAGTGCATGGAATAGAGAAAGCTGTAAGCCAGCAAGAATAGCACTTTTCAGCAATATAGAGACAAATAGGGAAATAAGTTTTTTTCAGAATCAGGAAAATTATGAAGCTGATCTAGTCTGGGTAAGTGAGTAAAGTATCATCAGAGCTGAGAAAGAATTTGACTTGTAGAATTTAATTATGATATGATGTGTGATACAGGAAGACTTCACCTTGGTTCTTAAGACTGGATGATGTCTTTGTGGCATATTTTTATGAAGGAAATGGGCACATATATTCTGAGAAGTTCTGTCCAAATTCCTGGCTTATTTACATGCACCACAGTAGTTCTGCAGCTCTGCCCCCCCATTGTCCATTTTTGGAACATGCTGGAATATGTTACAGCTTTGTTGTGGTCCACGCACACATTTCCTTGCTGTGTAAACCAAACTGCAGGGATAAGAGAGCAGAACACTCATGAAAGACATGAAGGAGAAAGCCAGCATGGACTTCCAAGCCTGCTGCTGCAGAGGTGTCTACCCAAAGAACATGAAAGCCTGTAGAGTTTCTTTACAGAGTTACTTTCCAGAGCAGATCTACAGCCTGATGTTTCACGGTTCAGTAAGTCTTTCTGCTTTTCTTCCACAGAAGCTTGAAAGCAGAGGGATGCTGCGTGTTGTAAGTAGGTGCTAAGTAAGTAGTTAAACTGGGCAATGACTCTTTAATTTTCATTTCAGATGGTGATGTAACAGTAAATTTTGAAACTTCAAATGGACACACCGTAGCCATTGGTGAAGAAACCATACAGGAAGAAAATGTGGTAAAAGCCAGTGGAAATAATGGCACTTTATCAGAGAAAGCATCAGCATCAGAAGGAAAAAAAGAAGATCAGAAAGGTAAATTAAAGTATTCTTCACAGATTGTTTTTTGCATACTTTAAATATTAACATGTTCTTCCACTAGCACCTATACATGCTGTGAGTTCTGTCCTGCCACAAGGATGCCAGCAGAACCTGCTGAGAAGACTTGTGAAACACCAGTATTCCCTCACTGGTAGGCATGCCTTTTCCTGTGCATGTGGTAAGGCAGTAAGGAGAAGCATGATCTGAACATCACCGTGCATGCAGGGAGGTTCACTTTCTCAATTCACTGTGGGCCTTTCCTTGTAGCCATGGCCAAGCTTTGGTGTCAGGGTTTCCTCTTATGAAAGAGCACACTGAGTGCATATGCATCACCTTGCAGCATCATTGTAGATGTGGCTCATGGGTTGGATGTTCAAAAGTGTTTAAGTCACTTGAAAACCATCTACCATTCTGAAAGTAAGTTCAGCAACTCATTCCAATTGGTTTTCATGGAACCTTAAACACTTGCAGTCCAGCACTTCACACACATTCAAGGGGCTGTGTCACTCCTGCAAACAGAAACTAGGCATTTATGGAAAATACACTTTATAGGGTTTTCTATAGATTAATTGTAGTAAATACTGGTTAATATTTAGCAGTCCCAGTGTCCATCCTAATTTTGCTACCTTTACTCAGATCTAAATGAGTTTGACTCGTAAAGAAAATATGATTAGTATGGAATCACAGGATTTGAATCAATTTTATTTTCTTTCTCTACTCTCTTGAATAATGCACCACTTCTTTCCCCTGTCTAAAAGTGTTCTTAACCAGTATTTCATTTATTGGATTTTCCTAGCAGAAAGATACAAAAGATCAAGACCTTCATGGCTGGCTGAAGCCATGGAGGCAGGACAGAACAGCCTTTCCAATGTCTTCTATTAAACTCTACCTAGTGATGAATGATCCTCTGGAGGTTGAGAGGGTCAGTTCAGCTGACAGAAAAATCTGAATTCTTCTCAGAGCTACGTAAATCACTTCACTATTTAAAAAGTGGATAGATGTGCAAGGAGAATCTTATGAGATTTCTAGTACTTCCGGTCTCCCAACAAGGCAGAAATACAAGATTAGCCTTTGTCATGACATTTAAATGCGTCTTTCTTTTGGTGCCAACTAGAACCAGATGTGTATTGGGTCAGGGGAAAAGAGTTATAAAAGCCATGGAAAACTCCTTTAAAATGGTTCAGTTTAACTTTGGGGTTAGATCAGACCACTTATTATTTTGTGCATCACTAAATACAGCCTTTTGGAACTGTCAGGACTTGGAAGTTTTCCTAAGGTACAGTTTATTATTTTAGAAATACACATTTCTAACTGTGTTGAAATCCCCTCTAGCTGACTTTGCAGAATGTCAGAACTCCAGTGAAGCAGGAGAGGTCCAATATCCATTTCAACTTCTTATTAGACTCTGCACTTTCTATATATTGTTTTGACCATATGGGGAGAAATTAAGAATGATTGCTGTACAGGAGGAGATTCAGTACAAAAGAAGTATAGCTATCACTCCAATCCCTCTCAGAAAGTTAAGAATATATGGAGAAAAAAAAAAAAATGAGCAAAACTGGTATTCTAGGCTTCATTGAATCTCAGTATGAGCATCCAGAAGATGCAAATCCCTTAAAGCATACTTTCCTCTTACACCAAAACATTAAGTTCTGTGAGGAGTTAACATCTTGAGTCCCCTGAAACAAAAGGAGGTAGATTTATTGCAGAGAATACTCTCCCCACAAAAGTTGTTAAGGATCAATTCCGCGCATCAGAAAGGTTACAGGTTACACTGTAAACCCAGTAAAGCCACCCCATGGTCATTGTGAGCACACTTCAGTTATTCTTTATTTATATATAGCACACTAGGCAAGAAGGTGAGCCAGCCTGCTGAACTCAGAGGAAGAGTAAGGCCCACAGCATCTCACCTGACAGGTTAATCCTGGGTGATTTTTTTATGGCACATGCAGTAGGTTTGCATTACACCCACACCCACTGGCAGAGCAAGGAATCCAAAGCTGCAGAGTGGAGGTTTGCTAATGCTCACTGAGCACCAAAATCAGAGCTGAAGCAGGAATACTCTTCTGCTAGGACCAAAAAATGTGCTGATGCTTCAGATCACAGCCCTCCATCATGAGAACTGCCATAGGTGGATTGAACACTAGCTGCCAGTCAGGAGTAATGGCTGCAAGTTCATCTTCAGTGAGGCTAATGTAAGGCTTCCAAAGTCATGAACTCAGGTGTAAGTCTTGAAGGAAGATGTGTACACCTACCACGTTTGTAAGAACCAAAGACAGGATTAATTTCTGCTGCTTAGTAGCACAGTGTTGTGCTGCATTTCCAAATCCCAGTGAATCAAAGTTTGCCAAAAAATGCATCTCAGCCTTGTGAAGTTATAAGGTTATTTTAAAATGCTCTTAAGAAATGGTGGTGGTCTTTATTGCCCTCTTGTTCAACTGGGTCTTGGAAATGGCCTTCTCATATAGATGTGATGACTACAGGAGCCAGAAGCTTAAAAAGAGCACATGGTACAGGCACGTTGTGATAGTATGATGAGAGCTGGCAGGAACAGGTTGTAGAATGTGGAATATATTAGGAGTTAAAACAGGTTAAAGGAGGAAAGTTTTTTCACCATGAGTTATGGAAATACAGTATCCACAGGGCAAACAATAGGCTCAGCCATGCATATAAAAATGAGTAAAGCAGAAACAAGTGAAGAAGACAGCCCCTGAAAGCTGTTCCCCTTGCTGCCAGGCAGTTCCATAAGCTGTGTACCCATCTGCTGCCTATCCGCTCACAGCTGCCTTTTATATGTGGTGAAAAGTTCTCTTGGGCAATTTAATAGTGTAACTGTTACTCTTTGTAGTAATGATGACAGTCATACAAGCAGGGTGTTTAAAAGAAAATTTCCTTTATTGCAGGATGATTAGAAACAAGTGACAGTTTAACATAAAGCAGCTAATTGATGGATAAAGCTTTGCTATTGAAAATCAGATAAATCTTTTTCTGAGATCATTTATTCATGTTGTGCTTGCACTGGGTTGACTTCTAAATTCTATGGTTTGACTAAGGAAAGCCACTAGCATCTTTAGCAGAAAATAAGAGCTAAACTAGAGCTATTTTATCTGTGAGCCTTGCAAGGGATACAGAGCAGCAAGTGGACAGACAGTAATGTCAAAAGACACTCTGGGTGTCTGGGCAGCAGACTGAAATCTCCCACTGTGTCTGGGCTCCTGAGCTCCTGAGCCATTGCATTGGGCTGTAGGATCCCCAGCACTGCCCAGAGCTCCATGTTACAGGGGGAGTCTGAGCATTGCAAAGGGGATCCCAGGAAGGGGATCTTTGCCTCCTGCCCCCCTATAGCAGTGTTGGACGAGATCAAAAGCCACATCAGTAGAATAGGTGTCAAAATTGTCCCTGTTTCCCTCCCTGGATGTCAGGACATGGTGTGGTGATGCAGCATGCCTGCTGCACGTGGTAAAGCTTCCAGGTACTGTGTCAGAGATGCTTTTCTTCTTTCAGCCCTCCCAAGATGTCTCTGGCACAGAGATGCACGAGAGAACCCCTTATTTGTATCTGAGTTCAGTTTGTAAACTTCAGTCAAAATGTAAAAATGAGTAACATTTTTGTCGGAGCAAGCTAAATCTTTTAATGATTCTTGCAGATGGTTCCAGATTTCATAGTTAGCTTGGGCTTGAAGAAGTGAAAGGCTCAATGACCATCAGCAAGATACTGCCTGGAAAAAATAGTAAGAAGTTGTGTTTTGCATACCATCAGTCAGGTGTGTTAGGTGCTGTTTTGATAAATAATTGCATTGCAGAAAGCCAGAGCTCTGTTACAGGTGCTGTGGGTGACATGGGGCATAAGCTTCTGGAATGTTCCTGGGACATTTGCAGGAGATCAATCTTCTCAGGTTTCCTCATCTCTGAAGTAAACATGGGTAAAGGAAACAGTTTTTAGTCCTGTTTCCAAATGAATTGTTGGGCTACATGTGCATATTTTTTCCCCAAGAGGTTAAGTCTCATATGAGAGCTGGAAAAGGTTCCAGGCCTTAGTAGGTTGGGTTTACAGGTTCTTTCCTCTATATTTTGTCTGCACTCCTTAAGTCTACCGATAAATTTAATATTCTCTTATGGGTAACCAAAGGAAAGAAGGTTGGAGGCAGAAACTGTGGTCTTACAACCATGCATAGTTGCTTTCTAATGCTTAGTTTGTCTACCAAGGAAGGTTCTTCAAAGTCTAATTTTCTAGGTTCCTTTTCTCAGAGATCTTTTCTTTATTTCCTCAAAGCAGAACAGAAGCTGTTTGAATATAAAGTAGTAACCCTCATCTTCCAGGGTCTCAGACAAGAGCCTGCTTTGTCTCAGAAGATTAAACCTTCAAACCAGCCACTGTGAGAAACTGGGAAGACTTTCATCTCTCTTGTGTGCCTTGCTGGATTCCTGCACTCCTGAGCTCTGTAGATCATTGATATGAGCAGCATACAGAAAAGGCTCTGGACTTTTTTACCTGACTCCCTAAGAATCTCTCACTCCAGCTGAGCTATTTGCTGGGTAAAACCAGTTCTTCTAAGAGTAGTATATCTTCAATTCATCACCTGAACTATGTAAATGAGGCTGAATCCAAGTATTCTTAAAAGGAAGGCTATTCTAGATAAAGCTGTGTTTGGCCAGAGCCTGTCACTAAGTCAGCAGGGCTGGCTCATGCTGGTAGAGTAATGAGAGTGGCACAGGCTTTCACCAAAAAAATGAGTGCCTAAAGAAAGCTCCTGACTTGTAAAGCTGGTTTGTTTGTTTCAGTTTTTTTTTTTCTTTTATAGGAAACACATCCTAATGTGGCTGCAGAATTAAGATTGTGTACATTTTTTTTGAAACTAACTATTCAATTATTTATGTCTATCTCTCATACTTTCTGTATCTCTCATACAGAAAGCATGAGAGAATGTAGAAACCTACATGCCTTCCACCTTCCAAGATTCTCACAGATCAGCTGAATGTGTCTTAGGCATTCTC